GGGGTGTAGGGTTGAGGGGTTAAGGGTTTAGAGTTTAGGGGTTTAGGGGTTTAAGGTTTAGGGTTTAGGTGTTTAAGGTTTAGGGCTTTAGGAGAGTAGGTGGATAAGGTGTCGAAAGCTGGGATTTGGGGGAGGTTATGATTCCAGGTTTGAGCACAGAAACACCTTTTAAGAACCCTAAACCCTAAAGGCTGCTGGAGTGGAGCTCAGGGACTTAGGCCCTCATGGGGTTCACTGTAGATTACAAGCCCCAAGGCTTGATTACATTCAACTCAGGCATGCCTTAAAGGAACCCTTATAGATCCCTTAAGGGAACCCGAAAAGATTCCTTAAAGGACCTGTTTTTCAGGTTTTAGGGCTTAGGCTTTCGGGTTTTCGCTTACAGCCTTCGGGTGAGGGCCCCCGGCGTTGGCTCCAAAGCAAAGGACCGCGCTGGCCACGGATCGAACCTCAGGGACTGCAGGAGACTCGTAGATAACATGGGGCCTTAATAATTAGAATAGGGTTTTGGGGCAATTACAGTCTACTATAACTATAATGAGGACCCCCCCAAAAAAATACAGGTAATTATCTAGGCCCCTAGAGTAGATATGCCGGCTTTGCCTGCGCCTCGGAGACGTAGAAAACATGCTTGTGGCTTGAAACAGGCTGCAGCTGCCAGTAAGAAGAGGAAACAGCCAGTCTGGCAGCCCATCTTCGAACACCCTCTCGGTAAGCTCCCGGCGAACTCATCGTTTTCGGGCCTGCCTTGGCAGCCGGGACGCAAGGAGCTTTAGAAAGGAGGTCTAAGATTTGAGGGCTTTTGGTGTTCCGAGGCTCTGCCCCCTAATTTCAAGCACCTCCCGAAATCCGCAACCCCGATGTAGCTGAAGGCCACAAACCTCCCAATCTAGAGCTTTGCAAAGGTTGAGGCCTAGTCCACAAAAATCAACTCAAAAGCCCCAGCTCAAGCCGTGTAAGCTTCAACTTTTCCAAAGAACTACGCAGAGAGACCAGCAACCCTGAAGTAAGGAACCGTAGAATTAGGCGGTAATTCTTGGGCTCTCTGAATGATTCGGGGCATTCTCCAACCTCCCAAGACCCCTAAGCCCTAAACCCTAAGCCCTAAACCCTTAAATTTCAATTCCCAACTAGTGGAGACCTCGATCAGCCCCGAGCCCTGATTTAATTTAGGGTTTAGGGTTTAGCCCCGAGCCCTGATTTAATTTACACCTAAGGCATGGGTTTAGGGCTGTTCAAGGCTTGGTGGGGTTTGTCGGAAAGCTCCAAGCAAAGAACAATCCCTAACGCTGCGAACTCGGCTGTTGAAAACCAAAGCAAGATCAGACCCTAGAGCGCCAAAGCTGAGGGCAGAAGCCATCAGCAACAAAAGAGCGAAGCTTGAATAGCAAATCCCTGAATCTCCCCAAGCCCAAAGCCACAACCCGCAACCCCTAGATCCATAAACCTTAAGCCTGTAAACCCCTAGACCCCAAAGCCATCGAACGCCCTAAGCCCAGCTGCTGCGATAGTAAAGTCCCACTGGCGAATTTGCCATGGCCTGGAGAGAACATGCAAGGGAATGAAAGCGTTTGGGGTTTACTGCTCACGGGTGTAGCGGTGAAGGCTTAAAACTGCCAACAAGAAGAACTGATTTCATCAGCAGTTTTCGTGGTGCTTTCGGAGTACGGCAAACCCAACGACAGGGCAGATCGACCGTAGGGGTGCAGATGCAAACTCGCACGAAGGTGGGGGCAAGCCAAAGGCATTGGGCATAAGCAAGCATACGCACGACACAGCTCGAACTGTCTTGGGGGAAGCTCACTCGGAGGATCATGGGACTTATATAAAGCAAGGTTATAAGTACCTTCATTCGGGCTATAAGTAGTTATAATAACTATAGATACCGCTAATAGATACCTTCCTTATAACCCTAGTTACTAAGTCTCATGATCCTCCAAGCAACTTACGAGGTGCAGCCTTGCCTTGTGGAAAAGGCCCGCAGAACCAGGAGCTGCGATGTGACACAGAACCGACCTTGTCTGAGATCCGTGAGGGCGTCGGCTGGACCAGGTTCCAAGACTTCAATTGTACTGTAGGATTAGAGCCCAAAGCACATAATTTGCAACTACTTGTTGAATGAACTGATTCAATTAAAAACCCCTAAAAAAGCCTTTAGTGTACAACTTGGCCTAGCCTCTAAGCCCTGGCTTTGCTACGCCACAGTGCAGTTGCAAGTTCAGACTGTGCGCAAGCGGAGGTGCTCAACTTACGCGCATCTGAAATGGGAACCTGCCGCTTAGGACAGTGTCATGCACTTACAGCCAAGCTGGAGTTTCAGAAGATATTGCCAGCTACAGCAGCACTAGGTAGGGTTCTCGTGTTAACGTACCGGCTCGTTACAACGAAATTCGTTTACCACGCGACTGTTTCACGTGA